CACAGTGTTGCCGATGTGTGGAGACTACAGAAACTCAACGTTGTTTACGCTTAGTGAAATAAGAAGTGGGAAAAAATGGCGGTGGTAGAGGATCTGGGAAAGGGTAACAAGAAGTTGGCGCCACCCTAAAGCGGAGCGGAAACATGTAGGCTCCCTAGGCACACCTACTGTAAATGACTTGACGAAGTTAATTCTTCAAAAGAAGGTGATTTTAGCTATAGTTAATGTGCCACAATCAACCCAAACAAAATAAATTTCTTAAATCCTTAAACGTTATTACGGTAAACAACCTATACGACTACAATCTTCTTCGATATATATTAAGTATTAAGCAAAACATGTCTTATATTAGAAACATATTGGAATTAACTGGGAATATTAAATTTTACAACGCAAGTCCAGAGGAAATTCGGAAAATACCATACAGTAGAACCACATATGGTCATACCTCGGCAGACTTCACTCATGAGGGCTTTCATTCACCCTCACCTTCACAGGTGAGGTGAGGGTGAGTGAGTTTCTGAATCCCGAAAATTCATGTGTGAGGGTGAGTGAGGATCGTGAGGGGTGTGAGGGCCGCGAGTGCGTGAGGGCCGTGAGGGCGGTGAGTGCATGAGGGGCGTGAGGGCTATGAGTGCATGAGGGGTGTGGGGGCCGTGAGGGGTTTGAGGGCCATAAGTGCGTGAGGGTTATGAGTGGGTGAGGGGCGTGAGGGCCATGAGTGCATGAGAGGTGTGACGGCCGTGAGGTTTTTTTTTTAGGGCCTTGGGTGCGTGAGGGTTATGAGTGTGTGAGGGCGGTGAGTGCGTGATGGCCATGAGTGCGTGAGGGCTGTGGGTACGTGAGGGGTATGAGTAGGTGAGGGCGTTGAGTGCATGAGGGGCGTGAGGGCCATGAGCGCGTGAGGGGTGTAAGGGCCGTGAGGGCTGTGAGGGCCGTGAGTGCATGAAGGGTATGAGTGCGCGAGGGCGGTGAGTGCATGAGGGACACCAGGCCAAGCGTACATGAGGGGTGTGAGGGCCGTAAGGGCTTGAGGGCCGTGAGCGCGTGAGGGTTACGAGTGCGTGAGGGCGGTGAGTATGTGAGGGCCGTAAGGGCTATGGGGGCCATGAGTGCGGAAGGGTGTGAGGGCCGTGAGGGCTGTGAGGGCCGTAAGTGCGCGAGGGGTATGAGTGCGTGAGGGCCATGAGTGCGTGGGTGTGTGAGGGCTGTGACGGCCGTGAGTGCGTGAGGGATACGAGTGCGTGAGGGCGGTGAGTTCGTGAGGGCCATGAGTGCGTGAGGGGCGTGAGGGCCGTGAGGTTCAGTGAGGGTGAATGAAGGACTGAAGGTGAGTGTTACTGTAAGGATGAGGTTGAATGAGGGGCCGAGGGTGAGTGTAGTTGTGAGGGTGAGTGAGGGCGACCTAAAATGCCGACCTCTGCATATGGTACTCAAATGCTTAAACACCATCTTTCTTTGAACTAAGCCAATTACTAGAAGATAACATCATCATCGAACACTTAACATATCTCATTCTTTAAAATTGATGTTTCTGTGAAGATTTCTTGAGATGTAAACTTAGGATATAAAGCTTACGTTTTATTTTGACATAGACTATTATAATTTTCCTAAATGTTTCTGACTATTATTGCGTTTTTTTCTTTACTTTTCTTTCTTTTTGTCATCTGCCAATGAAGTAGGAGGGACGTGGACCTCGCTAAGCCGACAACTGTCAGATTTTTGTCCATGGCTCCTATGTGTGTGTTTCAACATGCAGAAGCAAATACATTGAATAAATGAATGTAACGCGTTCATTTCGTTTTAGGTAACATAGGCCTGTAACGCGTTTCTTTTCTTTGCAAGTAACAAGTAACGTATTTTGTTACTTTTTTCTTTCGGTAACGCCCATAACACTGCCTTTCGTTGTGCTTTGACTGCGCGCAGGCGCTCGAGGTGCAAGAGACACCGAAACGCTGTCGAAGGTAGGAAGCTCGCTCTGGCGGTGCGACAACTGAAGCTCCTCCCTGCCGTTCTTGCCTTGTCATTGACTATTATCTAGTGCAGTATAGATGGCACAAGCGGACCTTCCGTTGTAAAGCGAGCCGGAAAACACGGCACCCACACATAGTTTAAAACTTCACCGAATGTGCACTTGGCAGGTCAGTTTTACAATGCAAAATTTTAACGCGTAGTTCTTTTGCTGTAAAAAAATATGAGTGCAAAAAAATTGTCAAGGTCAAAAGTGTGAGCGTTCGCAGACGGCCAAGCTGGCGACGGATGGATGGATGGATGATGGATGGATGAATACGGCTGAGCCCTTTGGATCGGGCGGTAGCTTACGCCACCTAGCCATTTTGCTTTACCATTTAAGCTTAGAATATTTAAATGTGAAATCTATATTCACTCCGCAGTGCAAAGAAAGTGAGGCTATGAAACCCCCTTGCCATCAGTGGATAAGAAAATACCTAGTTTTCTCTCGATTTCTGCCACCATTCACTTAATCTTTGCTTGGTAATCTCTACAGTCTTGAAATCCACTCTCCCTTCGCTGTCTCTAAAACCCAATGACTTTATTAAGTCTATGTTGTCTTCGGTGGGCATAGGGTGAAGCCCTTTACAGTAGAGTATCAAGTGCTCAGCCGTCTCGTCCTCCTCTCCACAAGCAGTGCACACTGTATCAATTTCCTGGTACTTCACTCTGTATGTTCTGGTTCGCAGAACACCCGTTCTTGCCTCAAACAGCAATGAGCTTCCCCTAGAATTGTTGTAAATGCTTTCTTTGGCAATAACTCTTTTGTTTAATCTATAGCTTTCCAGAGCCGTCTTTGTCTGCATTCCCTCTAGCCACCAATCTCTTTCTGTGGCCTTAACTTTCTTCTTAACTGAGACTTGCTCTTCCGTATCTTCGCTATAGCCCAAAAACTATCCTCTTAATTTCCGAGTGCGCTGTCTCCACTTTGTGTCTACACTCCTCATGTATAAATAGCTGAAAACCTTTCGTGCCCATTGCTCCCCGTCCATTTGCCTCAACCTATCCTCAAATTCTACCTTGCTCACCGCTTCCCTGCTCTCAAATGATGCCCATCCCATGTCTCCTTGTACTCCCTGGTTTGGCGTTTTGCAATGTGCCCCCAAAGCCAGTCTACCTACTCCGCGCTGTTTTATTTCTAGTCTCGCATGCACTTCGGATTTCATGCATAGCACTGCGTTTCCAAAAGTCAAGCCAGGCACCATGACCCCTTTCCAAATCTCTCTCACCACCTCATACCTGTTGTAATTCCAAAGTGCTCTATTTTTCATTACAGCTGCATTTCTGTTGCCCTTACCTATTATATACTTTTCATGGTCTCTGAGATATTCTGCACCATCACATATCCATACTCCTAGATACTTGTATTTACTAGCTCTCTCAACTGTAATATTCTGTATCTTCAGCCTCTCAACTTCATCCTCGTTAAAAATCATGACTGCCGATTTTTCGCTACTGAATTCTAAACCTAATTCCTCTCCTTCCCTACCACAGATGCTCATTAATTCCTGCAACTCTGTCCTGTTGTTAGCCATTAGTACAATATCATCTGCATACACTGCATACACGACGCTGTTTACTTGGGGCGCCATCTCCCGGTAGGCGCAGAGAGCAGACGACGCACTCTGTTGTCCGCTTGCTGCGCCTGTCGAGAGATGGCGCCACATGTAAATAACGTTTTTAAATCGGTCGCCTCCGAACGCGCTCAGCCTTGACCTTAGCAAGTTGTTTCCTTAATTTTTCTTCTTTTTTTTTTTTTTTTTTTTTTAGAGGAAGAGGATTGCGTTTTGGAATTTCACACGGTAGAACTGACCCGCTCAGTGCACATTCGGTGAATGTTGGAGCTTTCCATGTGCGTGCGCCGATTTTTCCGGCTTGTTTTAGAGCGGAAGGTCGAGCCGAAGGAAGTGCTCTTTTGTTCAAATCGAAGCGCCGAGCTTGATTTCTACCTTCCACTACGTTCGTCATGTACTTAATGTCCCATTGCAACAAAAGCATACCGCAAAAGAAAGAAGCGAAAATTATAAAAGGAATTTCCTATTGCAATCAAATCGGAACACAAAAAAATCAATTAAGGTTTGTTGAAAAACTAGGATAATGAAAATCAAGCTGCTTTCTTCTAGTTTGGCGGGGGATTCCAGTGATAAAAGGTTGTTTAATAAACTGCACTTACGTACACTGGTGATTATTTCCCTTTTTCATGGTTTTCAGTGATCGGACGAATTGATCAATCAAGCTGCCATGTTAAAAATACATCTGGTGGTATAAAGAATCACAATTTCCTAGCTCCAGTCATTTAAATCAAATTAGTCTAATTTAAATCAAATCAATTTATTGCTTTTTTTAATTGTGTTTTTACCTTGGTTTGGATGCCCTTTCTTTTTAAAGAGGGCGTGGAACAAAAGTTCATTTGTCTCCACACTTCAAGCAATCTGGACGTTGCCCAAGCGAATCCAGCACAGCCGCCTGAAACAGCCTCACAGAAATAGCCTTTTATGAACAGAAGGTTATGGCGCAAACGAGCGGTGGTTGTTGAACATGGTAAAAACACTCCGAGAGCTTTCCTTTTTTCAATCTCGGAGTGTTTTTTGTGTGGTCTTTTATATTGTTAAAGGCTGTGCCTTCTGCAGTATACATTTCGTGCCATTGAATTTGTTTTACTCAGCAGGAATAATTAGCTGACCACAAGCATGATTTGATAACGTCAAGTACAAACCATGTATGACGTTGCTGTTTCTCATTGCATTATCTTATTGCGTGTAGCAGTAAGCTAATTGAAAGAAAGAGAGAGAGAAAGAAATATAAAGAAGGCTTGCGAGAGCCAGGCGGTCATCATTAGTTGGGGGTGGACGGGATTACAAGTAAACAAATTTAAACGATAGGTCCTTGAATGCATTATGGGACTTTGGAGATAAAGGTCGCTGGTGGTTTTTATATTTTGTACAGCAGGACAGGTGTCAGCTTGCTACGGACAACTGGGCTGCCTCAACATGTCCGGCTTCTACGACTCCAAAAGGCGCAACGTGAACGCCCTGCCGGCATCGCGCAAGACCATCGGAACGCGGTTCTTGCTCTACACGCGGAGAAATCCTACGGTGCCGGACACGTTCCTGTGGAACTCGGAACCCGACAGCCTCCGAGACACACACTTCGACCCCGAGCGGCTGACCAAGTTCTACATCCACGGATTCATGCAAGTTGGAAAGTTCCCGGATTACCCCATTGTCGTAAGCGGCTGCTTTGACGTCTTTTTCCGATATATCACGAGGCCGTCCCATGACTTCATGACCCGCCCCGGGTGGTAAACACGCCGAAGTACGATAAGAGTCGCCGCCACTGAACTGTATTATAATAAGCTGGATCGCAGATCGAGTCTTTGTCTTGCTGGGGTCGAGCGGCACCACCGGCAACCATATCGGTAAGATACCAGCTGAGATTCATGAGAGTCTATGGGTGAAACAGGGAAAACTGAAATTGCTAGCCTTAGTAGCTTGTTCTCGACGATGAAACTTTTATCGTGTTTTCCGAGAATGACACATTCATTTTCTGGGCGCAAATATCAAAAGCGTCAGAATACCAATATTTTCTTTTTCCCCCTCTTTTTTTTCAATAAATATTTTTTGGTTGAGGGTCTAGGGTCGCGGCTTTATTGGACGTAAACTGTAATGCGGATCATTTAGACAAAGGATGGCAAGAATCAATGTGGAGTCGTGTTCGTGATCTCGAAGATCATCAGAGCTTAGCAGACGAAAAGTTATAGGAGGCCTTTACTGGGGGCATTTGCGTCGTTTCGAGCGCCTGTACGGAGTACTTCTGGTGCAGTCATTGGCTTTATATTGCAGCGAGGGCCTCTGTGACGCACTAAGACTCGGAGCATGTCATTCATTTGTTGAACGTGTCATTGATTTAGCAACTGAAGCAAGCGACGCCGGCACAATCAAAAATGTTCCGGCACATTTTCTTTTTTTCTGGATGGGCGTTCGAACGTTTCACAAAGACTGATTTCATTTCCAGACACCCGATATAATGATTGCAGCATGTCATAAAATACTTGCCTTCGAGCACCACGCAGTGGCTTCAATATTCCTACCTTTGTGTGTTTCTCCCATAAGTTAGCCTGTATTGCCTGGTGTCAAGCATTGGCCGCCGCGGCGGTGCCACCTAAAGTCACCCAGAGCCGTTTATACTGAGAGAGTTTGGCCGATGGGCGGAGCTTGTTGGCCGCTAGAACCAGCGGATTTCGCGATAACACAATATGGCGTTACTTCTTTGTCTTGTTCATTCCTGTGAAATCGCGTAGAGTTCCTATGAGGCAGATCCACAATATGGCGGACGGAAGTAGTCATCCCCCGGTTGTCAGACTACGCTGCTGTGGTTGTCAGACTGCCAAAATCTCCTTAAGAAGGCCAAACTCTCTCAGTATAAACGGCTCTGAAGTCACCGGTTCCTAGGATAGTAGCGCCATTTTGGTTCATGAAGTGAGCAATTTCTCCTTGATCTCACCGCTTTTGGTAAGCCAATCTTTGGCTGGTGATGGGTAGCTTTATAGAGCCTTTTCTTTGCAAACGCCACCAGGTGGTGCTCCAGTCTTGGACGTCCCAGAGCTGTTTTTACTGAGAGTTTGGCATTCTTTGGGAGGTTTTGACAGCCTGGAAAACACATCAGCGTAGTCTGACAACCGGGGATGACTACTTCCGTCCGCCATTTTGCGGATCTGACTCATAGGAACTCTATGCGATTTCTCAGGAATAAAGAAGACAAAGAAGTAACACCATTTTGTGTTATCGCGAAATCCGCTGGTTCTAGCGGGCTACAAGCTCCGCCCATTGGCCAAACTCTCTCAGTATAAACGGCTCTGTGACGTCCATGACGTCGCAGCGAATTTTCAATTCATAAAAGAGCGTGAACAAATGCCATCCTACCTCCGCTGCTTGCAACGTCGACAAAACATGTAATCCCCAAGTCTCCAGACGAAGCCAAAAGAACCAAGAGGCGCAAGGTCAGTTTTAATTTTTCGAATATTATTGTAAACCAAGTTGTCTCTCCTAGGTCGTTAAATCAAACAGCTAAAGGCCATCCCTAAATCTCCAACTTTGTTGTCCGCATACACGAGCTTATCTCTCCTACGTCACTGCGCGGTGGTGGCGCGTCGGGCGCACTTCCGGTCTGGGGCTGTGGGCGGAAGTCCCCACGTGAGACGTGTATTCCGGCGTTGTTTTGCATGGAACCAAACCAAAACCTGCCTTCCCGTCAAAAGCCGCGACTGGGGCTATACACCAACTCATATTTACAAACAAACCGGAACACCCTAGCGGACGCCACCGGCGCCGCGCATGCGCGATGGAGTGTGGGCAAGAAGCTCGCCGTCGCCCATAAACAAGCCATTGAAATGAGATGTCGGCGTCGGTGTCAGTCCCCCTGCCCTTTTTCGCGTTCGAATTGTTAAATCTACGTCTTCCTGGGCAATGTCCTACTACTTGAGCAGCCTCAGTGAAATTACCTATAGACCTTTTCACCCTCCGCCGCATGGGCGCTGCCATCTTGGAATCACGTGATGCGGCCGCCATTAGGTTGCTTCAACTTGTTGCTCCGCTCTCCCGTCCGCGCCTTGGCGGATGCGTTGAATTCGTGCTTTTCGTCGCGTTTCGCCGCGTCTCTTGCCTTACTCCGTAAAGTGTCGTCAGATACTCATACTTACCATGCAATTCCATTACATCATTATGCGCGCATCTTCTGTAGTTAATTTTGTAACACGTTTTGAATATTTGTTTACCGTCGGCGTGCGGGATACAGGAATCAGCGTTAGCACTTGCGCACATTGAATGCATATATGACTTAAAGAGAGCCTCGAGGGTTCAAATATCAATATCTTAGGAGAACTGAGGTTGGGTTACTAATAAGGGCGGAACATTTTGCAATAGGAAGCTCACTGTTATTATATATATGAGTGCGCATTGGTGTCAAGGAAGAAAACAAAAACACTCAGCGTAATTAGCCACGTGTTTTTCCCGAAAGCATGGTGTTTTGTAGTTACAACAAATCGAAAACAATTTCTTTCGATTACACTAGAGAACTTGTGGACAAGACGCGGGAAGAAACGTTTAGTTTGAATTATTTTTAATGCTAGAAATAACGGTACCTTAACATCAGGCAACTTGTTTGTTCGCTATATCACACTTATATCTGTTTTACGTTCTTAATCGCGTGTGCGATATGAGCATTCGGTTTATCGGTTTATTTATGAATTCCACGAAATTGTATATCGTGCGGTCCCATGTCCATAGTCTTTAAATTGCTTAAGTAATTTTTTTAATATAACCATGCAGATTTAATTAATTTATTTCAACACAAATATTTGGACTCCCCGCGTAAGAAACTGTCACAGACCACTTGATAGAGCCTATGATTTACAAAATGTGACGCCGAAAAGAATCCTTCTGCATGAAAATCACCTGAGTGCAGCCGGTTGTCGACGGCGAATAGGGATTTACTTTCAGTAGCTGGCGAGGTCAAAATGTGCAAAGCGCATCGCTTCAAATCAGTGAACAGCTTTCGTTCATTGGGTGGCGCCTGGCGCTCGACTTCAGTCAAGCTTATCGGAGATCATTTCTTTTGCGCTCTTCAATTTCATTCGGCAAATTTTACGGAAGTTGAATGTTAGACTTTATTTTAAGTTTGGCATTCACTTATCGCACGATTTTCATACCTTGAGAATGTCGTAAGCAAATGTCCATAGAACAAAAAAGCTTATTTCATAAGGCCAATATTTTGAAATGCTGTTAATGAGTAGTTTAGTTAAAGAAATTTTCTAGTCAGCCTACGCTGGTGTATCAAAATATTTCTCGAGCGCTTAATTTCCTTAAATAAAACTTGTCGAGACAATATCACTTTTTATATTATCTACGTGATTATATGAAACTTTTCTAGTCATTATAAAAGACATTTCCAGTCTCGCAGTTAGGAAAGGTTGGTGTACGGAAACCAAATATCGAACAGTAAACTTGTCAGTTCATCTGTTCTTGGTGATTCAGCAGATTGTTAATCATGTTGTCTACCTGTTTTTTCACTAAGCACGCATGCAATATAGTCTGTTGGAATATAAGGTTAGCAGTAGCAGCTCTGACTTGAGCGCGAGCTATCTACCTTCCGTACCACTCGGTGCACGCACAGCCAAAGCACGGCGGCAGGCAAGGAGCGCACGGTGCAGGCGGAGCTTGTCCTGCTCTTTATTTATTTATTTTTCTTCTGGAAATTGGTGTCCGCGAGTACGGCCGTGGACAATGGTACTTTTCCCTGTGCATGAGCGCAGTTGTTTCACCGCCGAACCTGGCCGAAATTAACGATGGACGGAATCAGACGCATATAGTGTTCGTAAAAAAAGATCGCAATTTAGGCTCAAAACCACTTCGTGGTTTGTCAAGTGGCTCAGTACTATTGTTTCATTCGCTGTGTGCTACAAGAAAGAAATTTATATCGCAAAATTAATCGAAAGTGGCATCAAATAGCATGACAATCGCGTGCACGTTGAAACCGAAACCGACCAAATTGAAGCAACCTAATGGCGGCGAGTGCGCCAGCGCCCTCTACCCGCCGGTCAAGCAACTACTGAAATGAAAAGGTCTATAGGCTCGTTACTCCGCAAAACGAATACTACAACATGCGGCGATTCATTCAGCGTACGTACGCTAAAGCCTGATTCGCACGATGAGATTTCGCTCGCATTTTTCAGTCGCGACGTCGCTCGGGCTGCAAAAGCTTGAACCGTAGCTGAGATGGTCGACGTCGATACTGAAAATCGCAAGCAGAATCGGGCCAAGTGAATTGGGCATAACAAGTCGGTGATAGTCACTGCTAAGAATGATCAACATCTCCTTGTATCTAGTGTTTAGATCGAGCCAGCTTACCAACCATCAAACTTAAGCATTTTGAGGCCTGCACTTACTTCTTGTCGTAAGTACCGGGCAACATTTGGTCTACGGGCCAGTGTCGTCTAAAAGAGCAGACGACAAGCAGAAGCGTTTGAAAGAGCAGACGACAGTTCGAACGATCAGGCGGCCGTTTGAACTTGAAGACGCATTGGACGTAATCTGCGGGTGGTCCGCACAACTTGACGGTTTTCTGGCGTCCATGTTGGAACAAAACAAATAAATTTGGTGGCCACAAGTATCCGTGAATTCAACCCAAAATACTTCCCGCCCAAGCAATTGTGGTCCGACGGCGTCTGGTT